GGATTTTGTGGAAATCCCATTAACGGCATGGACGGAACAAACGCATTGATCTGTCTGTCATAATTCAACGATAGTTCGCTATTACAATTCATCCGTACACGCAGACGATTCAATCGTGGACAAAGGCGACAAGGTGATCCATAATTTGCCGGAGGGCAAGTACTCGTAAAAGCATCGGAGAACGACAATTATCGGGAGAACAATAAATGGCTGTTTCATCTACTATAGTTTAATCCATGAACTGTTGGCATTAAGGAAATCGTTGTTAACCGCTTTAATCGCTTTAAAGTGAGATGCTTCCAAAAATGCATCAAACTTCTATCTGATAATCAGATGTTATTATATAATATTAAGAGTGTGAAAGTCAGACGGTTTACATTTATATTATGTAGGAAATATACGATCATGTCTGTTAATTGTTGAAAATATTTTCAAACTGTATATAAAAAAATAACTGTTCACACAAGCGATCATGTGAAAGTTGAAAACTAATGTTTAATTCAAAAGTCGGCTTCTGGAATTATGCGATTAAGCTCTCTTGCCGGATCCTTAAACAAAGTTCGAAGAATCTGCTTTCAAGCATCGATATCAGGGTATGCTTACCCCACGAACTTATATCCTTCTCGGTCTTTGAGCCGTTTCTCGTTTGCATAGAAAGTTGAAAGTAGTAGTAACAGCGAATAGAAGGAATGAGAATGAGAAGCGTCAACCCTTTCGAGATATTCAGAATGCATATACATATATCATTTAAAACATTGCGATTGAAAATCGCCATGCAAGGTGGTACTTATATATATTTCAATAAATTTTTTTATTGTACAACACTAATTACTTGTTTTATGTAATAAAACAATTATTGATCTTTAATGAGTATAAAATGGAAATTAAAATAGAAATCTCTTTTAGCAAATAGTTAAAGATTATTGTCTCGAAAGAATTACGGTCGATTGGAGTAAAAAGTATTTTTTAACATGACATCAAAATGTATTTGCGGCATCGAAACGCTTGCAGCATATAATATTGTTTCCTCGAAGCCAAAGGCGTAGTAAATTATTGTATTATACATTTCCATCTGGTCCATTTGAGTCCTGTCTGAAACACTCTTTGGCCCGGATTGCACGTGGTGCGATGAACTTATCATTCTGACATTATGCGGTCGCGATGACAACGATGAAATATCAAGTAAGAGTAGACTACGTATAAAAGTCCCGGGTGAAAACCACAAGATCGGCGGAGCGCAGTGGATTACAACCAATGCCGAAAATGCGCCCGCGGTTTCCGCAACCGCGCCACTGCGGTTCATGGTTCACAATAAATTCCAGCACACATTTCGGCTGCTACTGTTACCTACTTATACTTAACCATTACATACGCGAGCACCATGGAATTATATTCTCCGGTCGGATATGGTGCAACTGTGTAGCGCGAGACCGTAAAATTATAACGCTGGCTGGCGTTTCTAATTTCGTTGAACGCGCTAACGTTTCGCGCAAAACGCTCCGGGTCACTTAAACGGTAATACACGTGGATGCGTGAATCGCATGCGAAAGGTCAGAGCGCGGTATTGTAATGTTGCATTAGTAATATTACCGGCATTATACATAAAGGTAATATTACAATATTGTAAAGAATATAATATAATACGTTTTAACATTGCAGCTGTTTGCATCAACATAGTGATTTATCGTTTCATGTTTCGACGAATAAAATATCATCACAGTGTCTCCTGCGTGAATTATCGCGATAAATGATTACAAAAGCCATTTTTCGTATTTTAGAATTCACGAGCGTTAATGGTGCGGTATTTGGTGTCGAGGATTTTTTGCGAGAGCGGGACATGTGTTAACAGTCGCCGTCCTTCCTCGTGCGACATTTACTACGTGCCTAGGTGCACTTTGTAGCTCGTTAGTCCGCGATGCGCTCTTTCAACTCTCCTCCATTTTTACTACATGAAACTTCGATGTTCTAACGCGTACAACGACACGACTAGAGGAGAGAAAATGAGCAAGCGAGAGAGAGAGAGAGAGAGAGAGAGAGAGAGAAAAAAGGAAAAGAGAACGGAAAGGCCTTAAAAAAGGACGAAAACGTCCCTAGAGCTTATCCACGCGTCGCTTGTCAGTGAAGTGATCAAATTTCCGGACTGACCGATTTAAACGTTGCTTAATTTCATCGTCTTGTAACACGGTCAATCGTCTTCGTACATCCCGAAAGTGCATCCCGAATACACAATGCTCGACTTGGCCGGAAAGATACGCGACGCGAACGAGCAAAATTCATCGGCATACGTGCACGGTATACGTAATGCCTTAAACTATATGTACTTCGATACAGCATTGCGCTTCGGTGCCGACAACAAAGTATCTAACTACATTATTTATGGTCAAATAAATTCGATATTAAATGTGATGCAAAAAAGATCAGAAAAAGAGAAAAAGACAACCTATTAAAATGCATCGTTAAAAACAAATATTGTCATTCCAATATATAATTACGCTATGAACCTTACGATATATTCTGTAATTCTCGTGTTCGATATAAAGAAAATAAAAACTATTTCCAGAAGACGATAAAGTATAAAACTCGAAGAAAGTCCAGTGATATTCTCGGAATGAATTCAATTATCCGAATGATCGAACCAAGCAGCGAACAGAAAAATAAATTTATTCGAAACGTCGACGTCATTTTAACGCGTGAACAACTTGAAATATTCTTTGTGTTAAAAGAGAAGTTATTTGTCAAACGTATTAGTCACACTGATTTTGAATAAAGCAAAATTGTGCAAAACATTGAGGTTTTTCTGGCTTATCAATCAATTCTGAGGTATAAAATCATTATGTATCTATTCATATCGAAATAATCACACTTTTCAGTTCCCTCGGGGGTAGCAATTTTAATTACGGACATTTTATAATGGCACCCCAGGGGCGTGAGTGGGACTCACTTTTATAGACGAGTTCATCGAGCAATGTAAATAACGCTCGCGAATAATCCCGCGTGGGATCAATGAATCACCGGATTTATATAAATTTCGCGCCCACATCATTTCGGTTGTATTATTATAATCCTTATACACAGCATTTAAAGCTCGTTATTTATGTTATAACAAGTATATGGACACACAAATGTAGTGAGAAAAGTCTTTCATCTTTCGTTGAAGTTAAAAATCATAATATTAGCGTATTTTAAATAATTTTATATTAATAATTTATATAATACAAAATTAACAAAACAATTAATTTAAAAAATGTTAGATTAAAAAATGTAGTCTCTCCTTTTCTACGAGTATTTTGAAAGTTATTCTATTTTATTAATTAAATTTTATTCACATTCAGATGATATAATTATTTATAAATGCCAAAGCTTTCAACGAAAACAAGATAGCGGTGTATAAAATAGTAATATGAAAATTAGTAGTATAAAAACGTACGTGCGATACAAAAAGCGATTGATGAATTCACTTCTGACAAAGAAGAATGGGACTCATTTGTGGGCGAGCGGTTCTCGATCTCAAAGTTAGAAGAAAAATGGATTTTTTGTACCTACCGCGGAGAATGGACATAAATGTAGATCCACCTGTACAAATGAAGACCCATTTTTCACTTGGCAGCCCTGTGATTTCACCAATGACTTTTTACGATAACTCGACCGAAGTCTGCGATAACTAACTACAATGCGATATCAGGCGTTACATACCGCACTACTCTAAAACCGATAAATCATACCTTGTACCCATTTTTGTAAAATATCGATCCAACTTATAGCTGTCTCGAACGCTTTATCGCGGAAACATTTATAGGACCCGACGTGGAGTATTGACGTGACTAATTTTTCGACGTGCTTTCGTATCGCAATAAACTTCTTGTGCCATGACGTTGTTATACGCCAGAGAAGATATTACAGATAAAAAAGAGATACGGATAAAAAATTAAATTAGAATAAAAAATTTATAAAAAATATTTATGTATCTCGTTATCTTGACGAATTTATATTTTGTTTATAATAATTCTTATTTTACTTTTTTATAAAATATCGGTAAATTAACTTATTTACTTCGTGATTTACAGTACGCAATTTCATAATTAATATTTTATTTTTGCCTTATGATAGTATAGGTTTCACGTAATTCTCACGTGCAGTGCAAAACAATTTAATGAAATGTTTTCGACGCATTTTAAGCCCCGACAAAGGATTTTTTGCCGCCGGAATTTTTAATCATCCCTTCGGTGTTGTAACAGATTTTTACTTAACAAATCGGAGCGTGCATTCATTCTTTCGCTAAACGTTAAACATAATTATTTCACGTCAGTCTTACGACATAAATGTTCGATGGAAACAAAGCTTTGCCGATCAAAACGCGGAAAGAGGAAGAAAAAGGAACTACGGGAATCGGCAGCCCTCCAGCAATGAGCTATAGATCATAAGCCGCCGCGCGACGAAGATTGATTAGTACAGATTCATTTGTTCGCTGACTTTTTCTTATTAACTCTCGCCAGTGGATGATAATGTGATTATTATTCCCGGAGAAATTTTGGTACTTTTAATGAGCAGATAGATCTGACAGAGAGATTATCCGACAACGTACTAAAGTTCACTAACAAGATCATTATAAAACTCGTTAATATCCCCGTGTTGCCAGAGTAATTATTTTTACAACAGCAGGGATTAGTTGAAGCCATTATTCAAAGGTCGCGCTAATAGGTCATACCGAAACCTCATTACTAATTTATCAAATGCTAAAATCGGTTGTATAAATGAATATCGTTACAGTTGCATCATCATTACAGTTACTATAATGCATAAGTTTATGCACCGTATAACAATCGTGTTGTAATGAAATACTCATTTTCATAATAATAGCACGTATAATGAACTTGTCAGAATTAAATACTATCCATTATTCGATGTTAATATTAAATACTGAATAAAGTACTACGAAATACGGCGAATTTTCAGAAAATAAAGTCACACATATACGCGTGTTTTGTTATCGAAGCTCTTACTTGAATTGGCGACCGCCTTTCGGCGGTCCTCCTCGGTTGGGGGCCCCTCTCTAGTGGTCCCCGCGTTGTGCTTTCCGGTCACCGAAATCCAGCGCTGTAACAGCTAGAAACCAGACAGAGACCCGCTGTCGTTAAACTACAGCTCCAACACGCGACGTGACGCGACGCGACGCGACGCGACACGACTGTGTGCGAGGACGGCGCGAAGAAATTTTGTGAAATCGAGAATTTTCGTCGCCACGTCCCACGTAAATCGTCATCGCGCGTGTCATGTACGTATGATGCATGAGTGTGTCGTGTAAATTTAAGCGCACTGTCATGCCGGGAGGGGGGGGGGGAAGCGGTCAACGGTAGATATTTCGACGAGACACGACGAATAACGACTGGCGTTCGTGTCGTCTCGGTGAAAGTGAGCCGATCGTATTTTGGCCGCGATACAGGACGACCGTGACAGACCGCGCGTAGGACTCCGCGTGATTAGTGGGCGGAAGCGTTGCCAGGATCGAAGCGAGAAAAAAAAAAATAGTCCGGATGTTCAAGGGTGACGGCGTTGCACGATGGTTCTAATTAACGTAATGGCGCCCCGAGGCGTTGAGACTCCGCAAATGTCGCGAGAGAGGGACAGGCACGTAACTTACGTTCCGCCTGTTTGTAATCGCAATGTTACAACGTCGCGGCGATAGCTCGCGGTGGAATTTTTTTTCTTTTTTTTTTTGGCAATTCGATTAAAAAAGTGATTTCGGTTTCGAATGGCGATAAACAGAGCGGCGCGGCGCGGGAACGTCGCGCAGTGAAAGCGGTCAACGTTGAATCGGACACATCAAACCCGCGCGCACATACGCGCGCGTCCACGCTTTGTGCCGGGCGCGATTGGCTGCGAGGCCAATTTTTAAATAAACGCGCAACCCATATTTTTGCGCCGCGCCGTAGCTTTTCGTAATAAAAGCAGCCGTCAATTCGTTGAATTCCATCGGAACGGTGCGATATTCGTTCGAAAATATTCATATTGCCCTTGTTTGTCAAATTATCTCTCCCGGTTCAGCCGTTTCGATTTTCCATACGGGGTGATCATGAAATTCACGGGTTTTATATTGGCTACCGCTAAAGCGCACGTACCGAAGCACAAAATTATATTTATTTAAATTGTATTTATCGCGCTATTGCACTTCAGTGACAGATTGTCTAACAAATTTTGCGTTGTAAAGTTGCACCGTTTGACGGAGAATCATCCGGAGCACATCTACAAAATCGACAAAATTGATTTTATCGAATTTTAAAATTTCGAAATTTCTTGTCTTCGCTAAACAACTGTCGCAAATGTCGTTAAGCTTTATACATCGTGATTTCTTTTTCGCCGTTATTACAAGAGCCACTGAAACACTTCCCGAAAGTAGTAAAGTATCCCAAGCGTTCGTTCCGTCGATGTTTTCTGGACTCGTGCCAAACGGAATCGTATATGCTCGGGGAATCGTGTCGATTATCGGCCAAATTAGATTCGTTAGCGAGAAATGGAAAAGACGAGAGCATTCCCCCCGCGATGCCATGCGATTTGCGCTTATATCGATTCTCCGCGTTCGACAATTTTTTAATCACTTTTCCATTCCGTTGGTTTACGACAATGTCACGTAGTTTCCCCAATCGGAGGGGATTTACATCGGGGATTTACATCGGCGATGAGATATCGCCGTTCGCGATGCGGCAAGAGGCACGAGAGCACTATCACACGGGCGGGACGCGATTAACTGGCCGATGAATAAGGATGAACGGACGATCGCGTCGTGTAAGAAAAAGCGAAAAATAAAACGGCGTGTCGCGCGAAGAGGTTGATGAGGATCTTTTCTCCGTCGCGGCCGTCGGCGGGTATATACGATGGCGGAAAAACTGTAGCGAGAACGAAGCGAGTAATTGGACACCGGGTGGCCATATTAGAGCACGCGGAGACAGACGGAGAACGGGGAGACGGAAGAGCGCGAGGCGGCGGAAGGGAAAGGATGAACCGAGAAAGCGAGTGAGAAGAGGCGAGGAAAGACGCGGAAAGCGAAACAGAAATGAGGTAGCGAAATCGGTACGGGAGCGGATGAGTTGAAGAGAAAATGATACGTGCAAGAAAGACAGAGCTGAGGTAAAGGGTGAGCCTTTAAACAGCAGAAGTAGGGAGATGCAGATCGAGCACGTAGGCGCAAAAAAGGTCAGAGAATCGTAATGAGGTAGCGCGCGCGAGATAAGAGAGGGTAAGAGAAACGCATAGTGACGACAGAGGAGAATGAGAAAAAAAGAAGGAGAAAGAAAGCAAATATATTGTAAGGTACACTACCGTTCATAAGTTTCCGGACACTCTTAATAATAAAATAAATATAATACTGCAATAATTTGGGCTTCTTTAACTATAAAATAACAAAAATATTTATCACGAATTAAAATATATTGCTTAGAAAACTTATAATTTTTTCTCTAAAAATTTTATTTTTATTACAGCCTTATATATTGGGCATTCTTAATTTAATTCTGTTAATTAATTTTTTCAAGCATACCCAATGATATTTTTTTTCAGGGCTTTAGAGATACCGTATCAGAGTATAGTGTGATACAGTTCACGGCTCCACTTTTCTCACTCGTCTATTACCCTCCAGGGAATTTTTTCGATGAAAAAAATTGAAAGTTTCCCAGCAACAGACAGATATTTTTATTATTTTATAGATAAAAAAAAGACTAAATTATGTTGTAAAAAAATTATACAAGAATTTTATTTTATTTTTCAGAATGCCTGGGAATTTATGAACGGAAGTGTAAATGACGAAATCGGTTAAAGCAGATAAGTTAAAAGAGAAATAGAAGAAGAAACGCAGAGAGATATAGAAGCAAAAGTTGAGGAAGCCAAGTTAATAAGAACTTTCGGGCCCCCACCCCTTCCCCTCACTCGAAGTAAACTGAATGTATACGTAAATAGAACGAAACGTAAATTACAAAAAGGAAAGAAGAGAGAGGAGTGAAGAAAATTGAGAAATGAAAAGATAGTCTGTGCTATAATAAAAAGCTAAAAAAAGTCGGTATAATAATAAGAGCAAATATTTTTGTCCCGCGAGTGATTATTTGCGCGAACGATATTTGCAGCACCAAAAGAGAAATCATAGAATGGCAAACAAGGCGGAATATAATAATAATGAAAATGAGGAGAAAGAGGCAGCCGGTAACAAGTTGTAACGAAAAAGCGCGGATTCGAAACGAAATAATCAAAATGGAATGAAATGTTTAAGTAGAAGCGGTAAGCTCGCTAGTGAAAGAAAAGGCAAAATGAAGAGTCCTTTTGCGAAATAGCAAAAGAGAGATAGAATACTTTGATGAGAAGCTGCAACCGGGTTGCAAAATTAGCAACCAGAAACGAAGCTACAAAGTCGGTGCTAACTAACGGCGAAAAGACCTTTAATAAAACCAGAATTCTAAAAATCGTACAGCGGATATTCGCGCGTAGAGAATTCGCATCGGGAATAGCGAGAAGGACTAAAGTAAGATGTCCCAAGACAGGTTCGGGTTAAAGAAGATAAATGTATCAAAGATCGAGGGAATAGGAAACAGCGTGGGGGGGGGGGGAAGCACGAATCGCACGAGAGAGCACGCTGAATCAAAGACAAGCGGACGAGAAGCGAAATCAGCAAGACAGGAAGAAACGTGGCGAAAAATTCGCGCGGAGACAGATTCAATGGGCTATGGGGACCGAAGGACTCCTCCGCGGTAACTTATTTACTTCGGAAAAGGCCGTAAAAGAGATCGAGAGGGAACAGCTTGAAACAGAGAGTGGACATAGAGGAACGGGTATGCGGATCCGGTACGAGCTTTCGAGCGTGCCATTGCCATCGTCGTCGTGATCTATCTCGTATTCACGCGCGTGCGTGCGTGCGCGCGTGCTTGCGCGATACCGTTTTAGTATCCGAGCACACACCGGTGCGCACCGGTGTGCATTATCTAACACTTAAAATTAGACGGCGACGGCAGCGACGACAACGACGACGACGACAACGACGATGATGACGACGACGATGGTAGATAGTCTTTCTTTCTCTCTTTCTCTCTCTCTTTCTCTTTCGTGGTCCATAAGAGGAGGAAGGAACAAATGGAGATCTCCGTTGGAAGCAATTCCGGTTGATTATATCGTGATACGGCGACGATGCACTTGCACTTAATCGACGATATCACGTGGAACTTTCTTTCCGGCGACACTTTCTTTCCTTTTTACAGCACTATATTTACGGCACACGATGCGCCCTCGCTTATTTTCCCGTAACACGTCTCCTTCACCCTCCCTCTACTTCTTCCGGCCTTACTTTCCGCCGTTTTCGCTCTAAGTAGTGTGACGTTTATCGTATATGGTGTGGATGATGAGGTTGCCGATGTGACGAGTTTTACTCAGACGCACCGCGTTCGTCCGGGCCGGCTGGCCGCCCGTCTCAGAGTGAATGTCTTATTAGTTATTTCTGGGTTTAAGCTACTCTTCGTCGCCGCTCTCTGTTCCTCCTCCTTCTTTTCTTGATCTTCTGCCCGAATCGACCCTCCTCGCCCTTTCCGTCGTCGTCCCGCAACAGTTTCGCGCTCTCACGTTCCCAACCAATCGAACTCGATCTGCATCGCGCCATCAGCCGTGCAAGCTCGAAAGCTTACGTATACCGTCGGCTCAGTGCTTGCGGCGGATTCCTGGTGTATTCTCGGGGCGAGATCAACGAAATCCGCTACCGCGATCGCACGAGATTCGTTCGCAACTATACCAAGAGACTTCCCGATAACTCGTCATCGGTGCCTCGTCGTTCTTGGATCAAATTAAAATTGTAAACTTCGTGGATCAAGTTCCCGAGGAGAATCTCAGCCTGGAAGAAAAATCGATCGTGAAAGAAATTTCATCTTATCCGCGAAACACCTCGATGGAATTTTCGAGCGCAATCGATCTCCGGCGGAATAATCACGATATCTTTTTCTTCGGTCTTGGCACGGCTGTATCTTGTTGTTTATTCGCCTTAAAAAATAATATTCGCAACGTCAACGTGGTTCTCTATTTTCTTTCATTTCTTGTTTTCTAAAACGTAGGTCGAGCAGACTATCGAAAATATCTTATGACACGAGCATCTGAGATACCGCGAACGTTTTTCAAACTACTCGACGTCGCGACGAAGTATCCGGATAAATTTTGGTCCCGCGAGAGCTTGTCCTCGCGAGTGCTGAATATATCCCGCGACGCTCCTCTTTAACCTTCTACGTACGAAGGGGCGAAGTTTACGACTGCGCGCATGTAACTTCTTTTTACCCTCTGGTTATTCCCAATTGTTGCTTCCTTAACCCCTGAATTTTCTTTTCGCGTTCGAATAATACACGCGTACACGTACTCGTTTTATTTGTATTTTATCACAAGTTATAAGAGCGGGGCAGATACATTGGTTAGATACGCCGCGCTCGGGGAATTTTCTTAAAAGGGAAACCGATCTGGTGTCCGTAACATTAAACTTTATCGCGCGATAAGACTGTTCATTTTATGGGAATTAAAAAGATTCCGCATATTCCTTTGGGAAAAAAAGCAAGCCTTAAATTTCTGAACAAACTGTAACATAAATTCTTGTAAACGTTTCCATTTCTGTTTTCCGCTTTTTGCGCGCACGATATGGAACGTAATGTTGTGGAACGTATAATATGAAATTACTAAATTGCAGCATCAAAACCAGATGTTTAGTAGTAAAAATCAAATGGGAATATTTTAAAAATATTTGTTAATTGCAGTTAATTTTTACTCACGATACATTAAACAGTTTTCTATTTCCATATACAAAAATTTATTTTTTGAGAGAAAAACGAAAAAGATTAACTGATCAATATCTATACCTACCTACAAATCACTCTTCAGATCATTATAATTTACATAGATAAATTTTTCGTTTAACTATTATATTATCGTTCATTCGAATACTTTTAAAAATGAAATAAAACAAACATTTTTGCGTACTTTTTTTATTTTGACACCATAATTGCAAAAATTTAATTCTTTTTTAAATGTATAACTATAAAATAATAAAAATATTTGTCACAAATTGATGTACTATATTATTCGGAAACCAATTTTTTCTTATCAAAGAATCTCTTTTACTTTTATTACGGCCTTGTATATTTGGGTATTTCGTTAATTAATAATTCAAGTGTATTCAATATATATGATAATATTTAGAATTTATTATGATATTATGATTTATGATATTTTTTTCTAGACACTTTGGAGATACTGGCAGAATTGTAATATAGTCCGTGGACCTACTTTTCTTGCCCAACTATTACCCAGGGAATTTTTTTATGAAAAAAATTGGAAATTTTCTCAGCAACTTATTAAACCGTGACAAATATCTTTGTTATTTCATAGTTCAAAAAAGATTAAATCATGAAAGCCAAAAGAAATTATACGAGAATATGTCTTTTATTTCATTTTTAACGATCTCGCCACTATTGTTAAGTTACAGAATAGGGGCCTGAGATGTGTCTATAGATTCGTTAACGTGGCAAGTAAGATCGCGCTTGCAAGTTGAAAATGGCTGGAAATGTTAAACTGTACTGATTAACTCTTAGTGTTTGGACGGAAAGGGAATGATTCTTTCTGTGTGCGCTTTCCGTATCGGGGCCGCTTCCTCTTCCAAATACGGATAATGTGTTAAAAGAGACCTCGTTAAAGTATGTGACCCGTTACCGAGTCGGGAGAGAACGGGAGACTTTAAAAGATGACAAAGTGGATGCCGGCGCGTTACGTACGGGCTGCAGGTTGCTCGACGTAACGACCCTTACATCCCCATTTATGGCTTCCTATCCTTTCAAAAGCTCGGCGATAATAAATGATAGCGAGAGTAGAACACGGAATTCCTTCAAAGAAGGGAGAAGAAAGAGAGAGAGAAAGAGGGGAGGGAGAAGAAAAACGGTGACTCTTTATATAGTTTGCACCGACGGGTAGTTATGCGCGAAAAATTACTCTACGGATCGTTATGCGTGGCCAATGTGGATGCATTTGCGAAAAGCGTCGGTCCGACGATGCAGATCGCTGAACTTTTTGCGGCGCATGTGAAATTGTGTGATTATTATTCCACAGGTTATCTCCGCCAGGACGTACAGTCCTATTTCGCGGAATCCACATTTCCCCGTTCTAATGTAACGCGATCGTTGATAACGATTACCGTGTCAGAACCGAGAGTCTTCCGCCGGAGTATTTGCGACGTATGAAATATCATTCTCACGCACACAATAGGCGGTAAGAGAGTAATAAAGGGAAACGAACGAGGTGAGAGACGAGAGCTACGTTCTACAGCGAATGCATATCAGACGGAGGAGCAAAATGAATATTGCTCGCAAAAGATCAAACGTTTATGTGATCTTCCAGAGCTTCAACATATGAAAAAATTTTAGATAATTGTTGCGAGCGGAATATAATATAGCTCCAGAGGAATACAAAAGATGTCAAGATGTCAAGAAAGATTGCAACATAATTTTATGCATTACGTAATTTTCTACAAGTAAAAATTTTAAAACATAATATAATTCCCCTGTATAATTTGAATAGTACATATTTTATATTTCATAATAATATATTTGTATTCATTAATTATATTAATTTAATAATCGCTTTTCTATTGCCTTATATTTTGTCTATTTTTTCCTTAAGAAATTATTTCTGTTATTTCCGCGAATATATAATGTTACATAATATTGCACTTATCGAATTTCATGATGCAAGGAATAATTAGAAATCTTCTTCTCGGCCAATAGTTACAGTCACTTGACGATAAATCTTCTACTCCGGCGATAACTCTTCTAACTAAACGGTACCAATAATCTTCTCTATCCTTTAAGTAGTAATAACCGAGTCTGGCATGACGGGCTCTATGCCTCGCCAGATTGTCACGCGATATGGTTCTCTTCTTCCATTGTCACTAACACTCGGTGACTTCCCCGGAGTCTCCTTGTAACATTGCTCGCTCGCTTTCTCTCTCTCTCTCTCTCTCTCTCTCTCTCTCTCTCGCTTCCGATGTATTACGTCGAGGGGCTCACAGGATTAAAACGAAAGATCATATTGTGGCTGCAATAAAGGGGAACGACGCGCGGCGTGCCTTTTACACAAGATACAACACGCGCACGCTCGGTTTAAATTCACGCTCTTGGCCTCGTATCGCGTGCATATATAAATCTGATTCTGCATTCTTGTAGAAACGGACGTGTGTGGAATACTTTGCTCTCGTCTTGGTCGGTAAGATTAACTCAGAAGCTCCACTTCCGCTTTAAGTGGATTCCAAGCCAGCGGCCTAGACGGCGGTAGCATAGATATCTCTTGGAAAAATCAAAGACGACAGCTGGGATTCGAATCTTGGCCCGTTTAATTGAATTCCGGAACTTGATGCGGCACACAGGTCGGCCCAGGAATTACCGGATTACTCGTCAATGACAAATTCCTTAGGAAATTTCAAGGTGAAATAACGGATAGATTTTTATATATACGAAATTTCAAAAATAAAATTATTTTGTGAGATAAAAATTAAATAATGCCAATGCGAGACACGAATGTTGGTGTGTAATAATTTTTATTCTTATAATATCCAGCCACAAAAATTGCGCGCCGCATTTTTATCGATCTTAAAACACGGTTCTTCACATAAAACGGAAATCCACTGTGACAAATTAAACTGACGAGCAATTTAATATTTTTTATGCTAACAAACATCTATAAGAATTCCCTCCCCAAAATCTGTAAAGAAATTTATTGCAAAAAATATCACCTCAGCCAGACTCGAATCTGAATTTTTATACTTGCCGGATGGGCGTCATATTATTCGACTACCGAAGCCTGTGATGATATTTTCTGCAATAACCAATAATATATATATATATATATATATATATATATATATAAACAATATAACGCATATCTCAGGCCACGTGAAATATAAATTTAAATTGAAGAAATTAAGGCTTCCATGAATAAATCAGAAATACCTAAAAATTAAAGTTGTTAAAATAAAGATTAAGTTAAGATTTGATGATATAAAATTGACGACTTATCGGTTTCTAAAATTTAATTAATGCACAGCGCAAATATAACATCTGCATGGAGAATTATTCTCATCGATACAATTACGAAGAAGATCGTCCGCAAAAATTTCCATTATTCATGCTCGATAAAAAAAAAAGAGCTGCGGCTTATAACGTATTTTTATCTGTGAAGGAAGAATATAAATCGGAAGAGGAGGACAAATGAAGCGAGGCACAACAACGGAGGAGAAATGAGAATTCACGACATGCAACATTGTGCCGCTGCGACGCTGCGAGAGAACCTTATCGCGAGAGCGCAATGGCGATTTATCTGTTTGCCAAGAGGATCCAGTTTGCTCATCAGGACATATTCCACGGCACGTTTGTTTCATGTGTATGTATGTGTGTAT